ACAAACCCTATTTCAGGAATTATTCAGATTTTCAAAGAAACACTGCAAAACTAGTTGGATACGACCGAAACAGTAGCACCATGGCAACACTTGTAAACATATTGTTATAGGCTATGTTTTATTTTAATTTTTGGCTTCTTCGTGTTGTGATGAGCATATAGCTCAACTTTTGAAATGTTTTTGACAGTTTAAGAAATGATTTGAGCAATATAAAAATGCAAATTACTCTAGAGTAGATAACGATGATTGATTATTGAGTTAGCGAATTTGTTAGTTAGTCCAGTTTGTGAATTTTGTTTTTATGTTTTAACGAAATACTAGAACTACGAGAGGTACTGCACTTACTAAATATTAAACTACAATTACCAAATATCAAAATGAAATTGTTGTGTTAGCTTCTATTCTGAACTTAGGCCTACCAGCCAACATTCATTAATCTAACTTGTAGAAATTTAGGTTTAAGAAATAAAACACTTTCGTTGTCATTAGGTGGTTTTGACTTTGCAATATTATTTTTACCGAATAATCCAAATAACCCGCTCAACAAAAACTATAACAACAATATTTAATCCAACTTCTCGATGTCTACAAACTCCATCATTAGTATTTATCTCTTTCTAAACATTTTGAGGAAAAATGGTTGCTTTCTTTCATTTTCTAGAAACTATAACCATTGTTGCCTACAGGAAGGTTTCAGTAATTACCGGAGGCCTTCATATCCTGCTAGAGCTCAAAGTTTTTCCTTTTTTAAACAAAAATATTTTAATATTGGCCCCTTAGACTCAATTTGAATCTGCCTTAATTTCTAAGTGCGCCCCAAATAACACACAACCTTCTAACCACAATTTGCAGTTGACTGCTTAAAAAGCTTTACGGGAACATGTGGTGGTGGTACTTGCCCCTTCATTTTTGACGGGTCATACGCTAGTCTCATAATAGTAAAATTACCCTATACATCAGATTATAGTTAAAACACGCTATAACATTCTATAATAGTTTTGTTTCTAAGCGACAACGTATATTGTTGATCATTACCAAAAAAGGAGCGTGAAAGCGTTATCGACAATATAACCTCCCATAATAGTTAAAAACCACTGTGAGTGTTACAGGTTATAACACGTGTGTGTATCAGATTGAAGGCATTCCAATACGTGTTATAGGTTAAAAGACAGGTGTTTTCACTTGTAACAAACATCCCATAATTGTTAAACACTCTATAACGTCCTATAATAGTTAAAACCAATCTATAACATCCCATGATAGTTAAAATACACATTCCCTAATGTCCCCCGCTGGGACAGCGGTAAGTCTTCGGATTTACAACTCTAAACTCAGGGGTTCGATTCCCCTCGATGGACACAATAGATAGCCCAATGTGGCTTTGCTATAAGAAAATACACACACATCTCTTAATAATTATAACTATCCTGTAACATCCATGATAGTTTTAAAAATCACTCTATAGCATCCCATAATAGTTAAGGAAAAACACTATAACATTCCATAGTAGTTAAAATACTCTAACATTCTGTGGCGGACATATTTCTTTATTATGTAGTTTTTCGCATAAAAAGATGCGCTCGCGCACGTGGACAGGTAGTAATATACCCAGATGTATACCCTAACAGTGCAAAATTTCAGGTTTCTAGGTTCTTTGTTCTTGGAGCTATGGTGGTCACATATTTTTTTCTATATGGCTTTTCGCTAGCTTGCCTTATTAAAAAAATGCACACGCGCATGCGCGCACGTACGTAGACAAGTAATAATACCCAGATGCAGATCCTCAGGGTCCATTTAGTATGGGTGCAAAACGTCAGGTTTCTAGGTTCTTTCCTCTTTGAGATATGGCGGTCACATATTCTTTTTTATGTGTTTTTTCCCTGTCTTACCTCATTAAAAAGATCCGCACGCGCGTGGACAACTAATAATACCCAGGTGAAGATCCTCAAGGTCCACTTAGTATGTGTGCAAAATTTCAGGTTTCTAGGTTCTTTCCCCTTGGAGTTATGGCGGTCATACACACAGACCCACAGACACGCTATTTTATTATTATAGATTAAAAACATAAGAAGGATCTGACTTACTTAGTTAAACTTTAATTCTTAATAACTGTATTTAAAAATATTAATTCTTCTTAAGTTACTTTGAATATTCTTATTAAGTTTGAAAATGTAATAGTAAACTTGGATTATTTACTTCGAGTGTGTGTATATATATACCATGTTACTGTTTAAACGCCGAAAGTTGGTGAAGAATTAAAAACCAATAGGCCCAAAATTTCCGTAATTAAAATTATTTTTATCACATTTTAGGCCTATTGGTTTCCAATAATTCTCTAACTTTCGGCGTTTAAACGTTAGGTATTACGCTGCATAGATTAATAGCGTTTCAGATAAACTTTTGTCTTACAGTTTTTTGATATTGAACGAAAGTGTTTCTGGTAGTGTCTTGCGGAATACAAATGATTGATCTGATCATTTGAAATACTAATTTTTAACACCAGTGATTTCAAATCGGCAATGGACAAAATAATATATTTACTTTTTAATTTTGCGCAAAGCTATCGAAAGCTTATCTGCGCTAGCGCTCCCGAATTTTGAACAAATAGGATAGAGAGAAGGTAGCTAGTCAACATCACCCACTTTGAACTATTTGGTTACTGTTTACCAACAAATAGTGGGATTGATTGTACATTATAACGCCCCACAGCTGAAAGAGGGAACATGTTTGTTGAAGGGTTTAGATCACACACATTGTAAGTTGAGAGCCTTAACCACCAGGCCAAAACAAATTTTAGGCCTATCTACTAAATTGTTGAAGCAAGGCTGGGATTGTGTTTGTTTGCCTTGTTGCTCTAGTGTCGGGTAGCAATTAGCAAATCTTGATCTCCACTTCTTTATATTAAAAAAGTGCATTCTCTTCTTATTTACATTGGAACTTAGTGTAAATAAATAATTTTATGCTATTAAACCTCACCGTAATCCTGATTTGTAAATGACTTAAATAAAATTATTAACTACTAGCAGATGTCCGTTGAATAATTTGCCTAAAAATGGTGAGGAATAAATAACAAATGACTAGTCAACCCAATCCCTTGGATCAGAGCGTATATGCATTATGATTGCCTAGTGGGCTGTTTACAACCATCTTTTGCCTTTCCATGTGTTATATCAATGAGAAAAATTGCATTGAGCTTGTTTTAAGCAAATAAGACTGAGTACAATGCTCTGCTGGCAATAATGTTAGTGTTTCATTGTAATGAGTGCATCCAGCACAATAGAGCGCTCAGGTTCGCTAATTAGCCAAGGGGATTTTTTTTCCGTTAGATGCTACTGTTTCTTATCGTTTTACTGAGCGCAAGAAAAGACCGTTACTGAAGTGAGTGCTTTTTGATAGTTGTCATTTCTATAAGATGTGTCAAAGGATAGATATTCAATTCAAATAAACTTATTCTACATGTTACAATAAAATTATGCACGTATATAATACTGACGTGGAAAAGAATAAAAAATAAACGTAAACTGAATAACAAGAAATATATACTCAAACATTTTCCTCTCTTTAGGCAGTTTTTCTGTTCATGCTCCTATTTCAAAATTTTCTTTCAATTAGTCGAAGTCACGTTTGTTTATTGTTGTTTTTTCATGAAATTCCCTCACAAAAAGAAATATTTTTTTTAATAAATAGTTTTTTTTAGATTGACCATTCAGCACATATGAAGACCGACGGATCGACATTGATATTTATATGAAATTTTAGGAATGGCAAAAAGATAAATAATTTTCCTGTAATATACTTTGAAAAGAAGCAGTTTGATGTGTACACACACATATATATATATTGTACGATTAACCGCTCAGGAGATACAGAGTGTGACAGATAAACAAATATTTGGATATTACATATATATATATATTACACTTCACTTACATCAGTGACGAAGTCGTAATGGTAGAACGAAGTGTTACGTCTCTGTTTGTTAATTAACTTTCCGTAACTTCGTTCCGACGAAACTTTAGCGACACAAGTCCTTACTTAATAAAACTGGTTTATTCTTTCTGAATATAACTTCACGATACACTTATTTTCAACAGTCGCTCTTTTACAAACGTTTTAACAACGAACGTTAACTTCAAAAATATGTCTCTCTCTGACTGCAGTTCAATTACTCATTACCTACACACACATTATTGCGTCACGCCGTCACCCTCTTATATATATATACCAGAATACCCTATATCTAGTAATCTCCCGACAATTCACGAAGGTACAAGATATTTCCAGAAAGCAGGGGACGTGACACTAGTCACGTGACCTCGCTGACGCAACAGACGGTTAAAATAAAACGACGTTTGTTGTGTGTGTTTTTTACTTATTTGGAGAATGATGTAACCTTGCTTTACCTGGCACAAATTTGAAAGGTCAGGTTTTAGAGTAACATTAAATTGCTGTCAATTCATGCAGTTTATTTTTTAAAGATTTGTAGCTGTAAAGTAGTAACTAATGCAATCAGCAAAATTAAATTTTACTTTCAACTTTAACTGTTAAGAGAGAAATATATTAATGAAAATCAATCAAGTTGAAGTTGACTGATATATAAAATAGGATTTTCTGGTTGATTGTAAATGTAACACAAATTGAAATTCCAAGACGAAAGTTAGTATTTTAAAGGATTTTTTTCAAAAAGTGATTTACAAGTTACAACAATTTTGAAATATACACTAAATCAAATGTAGGAATTTTGAAAACTGATACTGAAAATACGTTTCATGCAATTTGTTTAAGTATTTCCATTATAAGAAAGTCAAAGTCGAGGTAAATCGGTAACCGAAACTCTTCGGGTCACATCCTCTACTAGGCTCTAGTCTTAGTCTGGAAAGGATAAAAAGTAGTGAGGTGCTGGAAGATTGGAAATTAGTATCACAATGGTTTATATTATAACTATAAGAAAGGGTGTAAACAATGTTGAAGTAATTATTAACCATTTAGGCTTATTCAGTGGTTGGGAAAATATTAGTATATAATTAAAGAAGTTCTACAAGAGCATTTAGGAAGTTTTATGTTATCACACTTACAGATATTGAGATAGCACTATAGCAGCATGGATTTAAATAGCTCTACTAGTACTTATGAAGCTAGGATTTAGATAGGGAATGTCATGTCTTATAAATTTACGTTCTTTGAAAGTATTACATGTAATCCTTAGGCTTAAGTATAGTGGAATTGGTGTAGTACATGAACATTAGTTTAGAAAAGCTTGTTTGTTAAGGTACTACATAAGAGACTTCAGAAGAGTGCATCTATGATCTAGTGAAGCAGGAGGTAAGGTAGTTAAATGTAATCAGAGTATAAGGCAGAATATTTCTATAAATATATGGGCCATATCACATTGAATTGATGTTATAAGTGATATACCTTAGGGTTCTCTTTTGGGTTGTTTGCTAATTTTCATTTTAATTAATCACGTTGATAAAGGAGTAACCAGTAAATTGGTTAAGTGTGAAGATATGAAATTAATTAGCATTCTATACTGCACTATAGATTTTAAAGTTTTGTTGAGAGATTTATATTATTTAATGAAATGGACTAATACCTTTTAATCATTATAAAGGTAAGGTCATATATATTGTTTATCACAACATTAATTATTTTTATGGCCTTGTAGGGGAAACTCCACATGAGTTAGAGCTGGGAAATGAAATAAAAAAGAATAAATTTTATTGGAAAGATAAGCAGGATATTAATATTTAGCACATTATCTTGAACTAAGTTTAGACAACTGGACACAGAACTTTGGCACCCAAAAAAAATTTTGGAGATTAAAAATACTTAGGGAGAAAAGGAGGGTTCAATGTAGACCATGTGCACAATTTTCAAAGAAGAAATTAAAATATGTTCAGTAATTGAAGGGAATTTTCAACAGAAATGATAACAGCTGGAATTCACCAACTTTCAATTAGCCTTCAAAAAAATTTGTAGTAAGTCTATTAATGTGAAGCCGTTTTGTAGAGGCAGAATTGATACTTGCCATATAAATATTTACTTTTAACTTGGAAGACCATAAATTTGGTGGGTCGAAATATTTGTTAAATTTTGGGTATATGAGCCATGATAACTACCAAAGTAAGCTAATAAAACTGTATTTGGAATGAAGGGCCTTTTATGGCGATGTTAGCCAATTTATTGCCCTGGAGAATTATGTAACCTGAAGTACACAAAAAAAGCATTTCATGTAGATGGATAGAGACATTTCTAATCAACTTTCTCAAATAATCCTTTTTTGAGATCTTTCCCAGTTACTTAAGGAATCAGAAGAAATCTGAAGGTGCATTTGTAAATCTTCTGTTATTCACAATCCTGTCCAAAATATGAGTAAATTATACTCTGTAACTAGCATACCAACATAATCAGGAAACTGAAGAATGAGGTTTATGATGTATCAACACAGTTAGATTTTAGATTCTGTATGTTTCATTTAAGTTTTGATATGAGAGCTTCAACTACATAGAAATAACAAATTGGTTTAAAATATGAGACTACGCAACAGATGGTTTAATATAATCTAATTGTTATAATTTTCCATTTTCTGGTGTATTTATTTATAATATTCTTTCTAGTAAGTATGCCATACAGAACTGTTTTCATCATTTGTGTTACTTTTATAGTTATAATTTATATAGTTGCATTATTTTTGATCAGATTTGTAAAAATAATACACAGTTTTTTATTGATTCCCCTTGCATTCCAATCTCAATTAACACAAGTCATGTTAGCATGTTTGTACATGTAATTACATGGATATTTTTTAAACATTTGATTCTTTAAGGCAATCATATTGAAAGTTTCAACTCCTCATGCTGTCTTCTGTTTTCAAAAATTTTTTTTTAAATAATGCAACCATCAAGTTTTCATC